ATGCTGTGTAATAAAATTTGATATTTCCCTGCAGCACTGCAAAAGGCCTATCTGGACTCTTGTCTGAGGATCCTGGCTGCAGTTGGGAAAGTTAGAGAAGCTTTCCAGCCTCAGGAGCCTGATTTCCCTCCTCCACCTCCTGACCTGGATCAACTACATGTAAGCACACGTCTCTAGTTTTAAGGCTATCATATTAATGAATGCATTAATTGTGTTAATTAATTTTTTAAATAAAAATATTATATATATATTATATATATTATATTATATTTTTCAATGCATTCTCACTCATAGTATGCACTGTTCAGTGTCTTGTTCTTTGTAGTTTTTTACTCAATATGTTACAGAATTAAGTTTTTCTGCACCAACTTTTTTTGGGGGAAAAAGTTTTCTTAAAACGTGCTCTTCACTCTCCTTTTATGTGTTTAACTCCAGGTTAGCGATGAACAGGCTCCACCCAAGCCTCCCCTGCCCGAGGGTGAGGTGCCCCCGCCCCGACCCCCTCCTCCAGAAGAAAAGGATGAGGAGTTCCCCGAGCAGAAGGCTGGGGAGGTGCTCAGTGAGCCCATGATGGTGGCGGCCCGGCAGCTGCACGACGAAGCCCGCAAGTGGTCAAGCAAGGTTGGTTTTTACAAGCCCACAGGGGAAGTGTGCCCTTCTTCTACTACTAAATTAGTGATTTAAGGTTTTTTCTTCTTGAGAATTCTCACAAAGCTGTGAGATACAGCTCTTCTGTCCTCTGCTGTGTCTGAGAAAATATCCTGAAATGATGTCGATCCAGTAACTGGATATCAGTGTTTTAAAATCTGTTAACATCTGTGGACAAAGACATTTGGCCGCACATCTTAACAGGGTCATAATTCTTAAAAGCAGACTTTATCTTCTCTAAGGACAAACGTTGTTGTTACAGTGCTGGTGTCTCCTTCCCTCCACACAGAAGAGGGTCAGGGATGTTGTAACATTTTGATTTATGAGATTGGGTTTACTTTAAAGGCATAATACTGATTTTAATCTCACAATTCTGAGAGTTGAGTTTAAGTATAAGTTGCTTAAGTTGCTTTCTTTTTAATGTCTGTACTTCTGTTATTGAATCAAATATTTAAAAAAAAGAAAGTTTAAGCCTGTTAAAATCCACATTGCCCCAATCCTCTTCTGTGTTTCTTTGGTGTAAATGTGTATTTACTGTATATATGTGTATTGGAGCAGTTTTAGTTTGTACATAAGCACTTTCGTACAGGAATATCCAGGAATGTTGTCCTGGTTCATTTTTGGAAGATTAACTTCTTTCTGACAGTTTTCCCCCATCATTGCTTGAAAGGGGCTATAGTAAAAAGGTGGAGCCAAAGGTGGTTTTTGGTTAGATTTAGACTTTGTCCAGCTTGGTCTACTTGGCTTCAGCCTCAGGATTAAGTCCATCGTCCATCTGCTGCCTTCCCAAACTGCTCCTGTCCCTTTCTATCCCGTAGAGCCTGTCTCTCCCTGTCCGTGCAGTTTTCACCTCTTGTCTCCCCTCAGTGCTTGCATTCACTCCTCCTGTCCTTGTTTTCTAACCACTTCGTCTCCTACTGTAACTAAATGCCTCCTTTCCCAGTGCGTCCCTCCACCCTGCTGTTCTTGGCTCTCCTTTCCTTTATTTCACTCTATTTCCACTTTTATTTCCTTCCTCCTCCCTGATCCACAAAATTCCTTCCAATCAACCCTACTCCTCCAACCACCAACACCTCCTCTGCACCCCTAATCCCTGCCCAGCCTGAGGATGAGGAGGCAGCAGAGGAGAGGGAGGTAGAAGATGATGATGAGTTTACTGATGGTGAGGATGACTATGAGCCAGAGCTGCTGATGATGCCATCCAACCAACCAGTCAATCAACCCATTCTGGCAGCTGCCCAGTCTCTCCACCAGGAGGCGCGGAAGTGGTCCAGCAAGGTCTGCACACATACATGCACATGAGCTCAGACACAACCTGATGTGGGTCAAACAGTGCTTGTAAATAGAGTGGTGTGGAGTCTTGAGTCAACCTTGTTTTTTAACCTTTTTAAATCCAGACAGTCTGATATACTACTATAAATAGATATTTTAGTTACAGTTTTTCAGATGTTGTAAAACTGATCTTTGATATATTTGATAAATGATTTTTTTTGCACAGTTAATTGTGCTTTATTTGTCATTGTAGATATACAGAGACAAATTTGTTTGTGCTGACACAAAACACCACATCCCCATCCTGGCTGGGAATCAAACCAGCAATCTTCCTATAGCCTGGTTCTTTAACCACTGGTTCTTCTTTTGACTTTTATCTTTTTCTGGGAGTTTTGTATTTTTTTAAGTATATAGGAGGTTCTAAAATTGTTTGGGCCTTCACCTTAGCCAGGAGTGTGTAGGATCTAGTCTAAGATAGTCTACCTACTGTACCTAGCCTTGAGGGCTGTCTTGATCACATTGTAACTGCTGATATAATATTGAAGTATATTAAAATTGTTATCATTATGTTGAAAAAATATGATTAAAGGTCTTTTTCTGTAATTAAATAAATTAATACAGGAGAGCAATACACCAAGGAGTGGATTAAGACTTCTGCACACCTTAATATTTCCATGTTTATAAAGTACTGTTTGACTCGACACATACTTTATATACAGGCACACACACAGGCATGCATCATCACTGGAATAAAAGCTCCACCACTACTGAGTAAAGAAATACTACCTCCGACAGTGAAGGTGGCTGTGCACACCATGAGCTCTATGGAAACCAGAAGTGGCTGCTGTCTTATTATCACTGCATCACAATGAGACACTGTTGACATGTGGCCATGGTGAATAACCTGCTGTGTTTGCACTCAAGGTTAATGTTTG